GGCCAGGCTAAAATGTCTATTGTTTTTGACAGCACTCTTAGGCTTGCACTTCCCCACACTCTGCTCCAAATAAAACCTGTGCTCTTGCCCTAGCTGGTTTGGCTCAGTGGATGGAGTGTCGGCCTGCGGACTGAGGGTCCCGGGTTCGATTCTGGTCAAGGGCACGTGCCCCGGTTGCGGGCTCGATCCCCAGTGAGGGGCGTGCAGGAGGCAGCCGGTCATGATTCTCTCTCATCACTAATGTTTCTATCTCTCTCTCCCTCTCCCTTCCTTTTTGAAATCAATGGGAAGGACAGTAACTGCTTCTCTGGGAGGGACACACTTGCTCTATCTATGGAGTCTTGGGTAACCCTGGTCTTCTTGGCTTGCCTCTCCCAGCATGGGAGTGAGTTGGGGCAGGGACACTCAAGGTCCAGTATTCCTGGCCTGCCACCTGAGGTAGAGCTTCTGACCTGTGTGGTGGGGGCTAGGTAGACGACTGGAGCCCTAGACCTCTCCATCATGCTTTGCCAGAGTAGAGCTTCTGCATCGTTAAGCCTTAGATGGGGCAGGGTGGGAGGAGAAAGGGTGATGACTTGCCCCTACTACCCCCTCCTGGGGAGAGAGTGTAGTCTTTGCCTGGGGCCTGAGGAGAAAGACAATCCCCAGGCTTTACTTGCCAGAAGTAGAGCCTCCATCTCCCTGAGCTGAGTGACGTATGGAGCAGGTAATAGCTCAAATGCCGTAGACTCTCACTGTTCTTACTGAGAATTTGTTGATTTTTTTCTTGTCTAAATGTTTCTTCATTTGGTTATGTCCTTAGGACAGTCACAGTTTTCAAAGACTTTAAATATATTTTATTTGTTTTAGAGAGGAAGGGAGAGGGATAAGGAGAGAGAAACATCAATGTGGGGGAGAAACATTGATCAGTTGCCTCTGGTATGCACTCTGACCAGCCAAGGACCTGCACCCTGGGCATGTGCCCTGATGGGAATCGAACCAACCACCTTTTGGTGCTAGGGACGATCCCCAGCCAACTGAGCCACACCGGCCAGGGCTCGAGACTTTAAATGGTTGTTGTTGTTTGTTTGTTTTTAAATATATTTTTATTGATTGCAGAGAGGAGGGCAAAGAGGGAGAGATAGGGGAGAGAGATGGAAACATCAATGATGAGAGATAACAATTGATCGGCTGCCTCTTGCATGCCCCCCCCACTGGATCAAGTCTGCAACCCCAGCATGTGCCCTGACTGGGAATCGAACCATGACCTCCTGGTTCATAGATTGACGCTCAACCACTGAGCTGGGCTGTTGTATAATTTTTGCCAGATACAGACTTCTGTTGGAGAGAGGGTCTGTGGAGCTCCTCAAACCACAGTTCTCGCGGTGTCCAACACTCACTTTAACAGTGTCTTTTTTCACTCTCAGATTATACTCTTAATTTAGGGGTTTGGAAACTACATCCCATGGATCATATCTGGCCTATTTTTCCACATAATGTCTCCTTGGAACAGAGTCATGCCCATTTGTTTACATATTGCCTGTCTGACAGAGTTGAGTGATTGCGACTGAGACTGTTTGGCCCACAAAGCCTAAAATATTCAGCATCTGGCCCCTTTACAGAAAAAAAAAAAACTTGCCAGCCCCCACTTCAGTTGATAAGCTTTACTAATATATTTTATTAATTAAACATAGAAGTGCTTCTCTAGTAAACGTGAGCTCTCCAGCAGACCAACCATAATTAAAGTCAGATTGGGCTTAAAGCAAAGATTAAAAATAGCACGTCTTTAATATAAACATGTTATTTTCCGTTTTTCCAACATTTTCAGACCTGGTAGCTCAGCGAGGAGAAAGATTGGAACTATTGATAGATAAAACAGAAAATCTCGTGGATTCGGTAAGTACAGGATATGATCGTATTTTTCAGGAAGTAAAGTACAGAAGCGGTTGATGGCTAACTTAAAGGGGAAATGTCTTAAATTCCATACTGTAGTGTGTTTTGTTCTGACCTATTTATGTGATTACATTATGATTACGAGGATAACAATGAGGCATAGAAAAAGAGCCACAACCATTAATAGCCACTAAGGAAGCTTCGGTTTGGAAAACCTCCTCAGTTTACAGAAACAATTTTTCAAGCTTTGGATTGATGCCTACATCAGTTAGCACCTCAACTGCACATACCAATCTGTTCTCTGTAGGTTTTATAAAACGTGAAAAAAGAAATTTTCAGGCCACTTATGACCCAGTACGAATCCTGAAGTCTGGACAGTTGCAGTCACTTTCTTGCTTACTGTGACATCTTTGTTTTTTTAATCAATATATTTTATTGATTTTTTTAGAGAGAGAGGGAGAGGGATAGAGAAATAGACACATTGATGAGAGAGAAACATCATCGATCAGCTGCCTCCTGCACGCCCCACACTGGGGTCAAGCCCGCAACCCAGGCATGTGCCCTGACTGGGAATCAAATCGTGACCTCCTGGTTCATAGGTCGACACTCAACCACTGAGCCACACTGATTGATTGGGCTACTGTGACATCCTGAGCTTTCCTTATATCAAGCAAGAGGCAGGGATTGGGAAGGGCCACTGAGCCTTAAAGTAGTCAGTGTGTCCCCGTGACCTACTTATGCTACAGTGACGTGTGTCTTGGCGTTCTCCATCTGGTTAGTGGATGAAGGTTGTGAGGGAGATGACGGATATATGGTGAATACCAAGTGGGCAGAGATCAGTTACAACTTTCATCTGTATGATTACAAATGTAACTGCAGAGTGGAGGTTTACACCTTGAAACAGATCAGTGAGCGCTCATGTTCATGCTCACCAGCCACGGGATCACAGTAGTTAATAGCACAAGCTCTAGAGTCCAGCTCCCTAGGATTGAATCCCATCTCTGCCTCTTCGTGGTTGTGTGACCTTAGGAAAGTTACTTAACTATGCCTCGGTCATCACCTGTAAAATGGAGATGTACCTACTTCATAATGTTTTGAGGCTTAAATAAGGCAATGTATGCAAAGTGCCTGACAGTGTCTGGTACATAGTAAGAGCTATTTAAATATTTTGTTTGCTATTTTACAGGAACATTGGTTAACAGTAGGTCTTAGAAGGATAACAGTTTTTTCATCAAAGCACGTGGTAATTAGAGGAAGGGTGGTGCCATATAGGAATAAAAAACCCCAGGGTTCTGTAATGGCTCACTTTAAACCCATTGCTGGGGTGTGAAGAGGGCTCATACTGCTTACCGTAGACCTGGCAGCATCCTGCTTTGGGGAACTAATGATTATGAATGACCGTTTCTACCGGGGAAGAGAGGGAAGGGGTAAAGATCACTGGGGCAAAACAATGAATGAGAGTAAATATTTTGGAGGTATTGCTGCAAATCAACCATATAGTCAGTGCCAGGGTTCAAACAATTCATGTTTTTTTCTAGTCTGTTACCTTCAGAACAACCAGCAGAAATCTTGCCCGAGCCATGTGTATGAAGAATCTCAAGCTTACTGTCATCATTATCATCGTATCCATTGTAAGTTTTTGTCTTTTTTTGCGTGTGATTTTATTTTTTTAAATATATTTTTATTGATTTCAGAGAGGAAGGAAGGGAGAGAGAAACATCAATGGTGAGAGAGAATCATTGATCGGCTGCCTCCTGCATACCCCACACTGGGAATCAAGCCAGGTATGTGCCCTGACTGGTAATTGAACCGTGACCTCCTGGTTCATAGGTCGATGCTTAACCACTGAGCCACACCAGCTGGGCTAGTTCTTGATTTTAAATGAAATGCTTCTAATATTTAATTTATAAGAATGACATTTACTATGAATACTTGTTGGATTTTTATTGTCAAGTTAAAGAACTTTCGTTTTGTCTCTAGACTGCTAAAACTTTTGATCAGGAATAGGCATTTAATTTTAGGAAATGCTATTTCTCTACCCAATGAATTGATAATGTAACTATTTACATTTAATATTAATGTATTGAATTACATTAATAAATGCATTTATAATTAACTATTTTATTTCTGGGATTGATACCAAGAGGTTATTATGTAGTATTTTTAATGCATGATGAGTTCAGTTTCCTAATATTTATTTAGTAGTTCTCTTATCTATAAGTAGAAATTAGTCTATGTGCCATTCTCCTACTGGCACCCCTCAGTGAACAGATATTGGACCTCTTTGAACTATCCTGCATGTACAGTAACCTTTCTAGTATGTTTAAACTCCTTTTTGCATTACATTCCAGGAGAATCATTTTGCTAACTCTTCCAACAAAATAAATTTACTTTTAGCTCTGTTCATTCTGCTATCCACCTCTGATTGATTTATTTCTTATAATCATGTTCTCAATTTCTAAGACGAAAAAGTTTAACTTGTTTTTTCACGGAACTTGTTTGTTCACAAATGCACCCTAGCCGGGGATTTCTCTGGACGTATAATCAGGGCGATAGCGTGGGGAATTGCATAGCTTACGTGACGGTGGGCGCCAGCTGGGCAAGTCCCACATCTGTCGGGCAGGCTGTGAGGAAGGGCCGGCTGGCCCTCTGACGCAGGAAGAAGCAAGCTGTAAAT